TTGTAAGTGTTAAATGATATACAGGATCTGTGATATATTCAACTTGTGTAATTATGTAACGTACATTTTATTGTATTAAAAGTCTCGCCTCTATTTTAATATTGTATTATGGCTGTACAGTATGTTACGTTTATAAACACACTGCGAGAGCGTGTCCTCTGTTTTAAAAGCGCCGTTTCCAAAATAAAGTTATAATAATTATATAATAGTATGCAATAGAAACAGCAAATCATTTTTAAGATTATTAAACATCACCTTTATTTTCATTTTCATTCGTATTTATACAGGCTGTACAAAGATTTGAAATTAAGAACCATTTTCTAATATTGTTTAGCGAACAACCTTTAAAGATCGTCAGAAAGGGTCGGAAAAAATTAATTTTTTTTCTTTTATTTAGCTTAAATATTTTTCCGAACGCATCTAGGCGAATGAGAAAATAAAAATAAAATTTTAATTATGAACATAAACAGTGTAATAATGCAACTGATAAATAAACTATTAAAAACAATTAAGACCAAAGAAAAGATTACCATTAAATAAAATAGGTCGGGTCTTCATTGATTAAAATGTGACGAATTAACGATAATTGAAACCAATTCTAATTTTAATTTCAATCATTTACGCGAGCACGCACGCGCGCAAATATTCGATTATATATGAATTCTTATACGCTGTCCAAGTGATGTTAATTATAAAATATAGTTGTAAACCCAATTAATTGTGTGAAATTAATATGCAATGTACGTAACACATATACTTTGCATGTGTTCATCGGGAAGATTATGAAACAAAATGGACGGTGTGTACCACGTGACTTTCGTAAACCAAGGAATGGAATGTCGCAACTCTTTATATATATGGCTCTGTACTTAGCAACAGAAGGGCGCCCTGTACGTTGGGCACGAAGTTTAAGAAACTTGCATGGTTAAAAAGAAGGGCGCCGCCTACGTTGGGCACGACTTCCGCCTCATTTTGACAATGCGAGAACTCTATCTTGTATTTCTAGTATCTTTTGATGAATCTTAACATGATCTTAAAACCGAACCGAAAGATACTTTCGTATGATTCTCTACGCACGCGCGTATAAACCATACGCGCATTTGCCGTAGCAACAAGAATGCGAAATAATGCAAAAGAAGTAAAATGGCCATAACAGTAAGAAAGTAAAGAAAAGAAGGCTGGTATGGTATGGGCAATTGCTCCGCTTAGATGATCACACTCCAGCTAGAATGGCATACATCAAGAAGGAAACCAGATTTTTCACACACGGGTCTATGCAGGCACTTGCTCAAAAACGCACCGAATGGCGGAAATTAGTGAGATTAGTGAGATGCGCGATGTCTAACGACGACTAGCGTTCAGGAAGAGAGAGAGAATATGCCTATTAAACGTACAGTTGTGTTTATGAGGGTCCACTGATTCCATGAATTCCTTAATTGTTCATACTTAATATTGAATTTGAAGTAATTTTCTTCGGGTTCTAATTACACGGTCCCGCATTTCAAAGTGATTTTGGATGAAACACGCATTTTGCAGAAACACATGTGTCATCCTAAATTGGTCATGCATTTAGCACAAGTATGTCCGTGATAACGAATTATCACGAATTCAGGGGAAAATGTATTTAAAACTAGAAGAAATTGGTTTTAATAAAAAAAATTTTAAAAGTCAAAAAGTCATGCAGTAACTTGAGTCATTAGAGAGTACAATATTTTCGTGAATACTTATTTCACTGACGCGTTACTAAAAGTTGAAAGAAGAAAAGAAATATTTGTGTGTATAGTTGGGGTACTCAAATTAAACATACGTACGTACCTTGAAGCTCAAATTGTACGTGGCTTTATTATAAATATTTTTGCTTACGTACCTGTATTTTCAACAAACACTCCCTAAAATCGTTTTAAAAGAGCTTACAATGCTGAGATCCATGGGCGTCGATCAGTGGGGGAAAGTGGGGACGCGTCCCCTCCCCCACTTTTCAAAGTAGGGGAACATCATATCGATTGTTTCCTCCCCCCACTTTTCACCAATCTTCTATAATTAAAACCCCACTTTTAAAAGCGAATGGAAAGAATAACAATTACACGTAATTCATGAATTTTGTCTGCTCACTTTTTTCCGGACCAAAACCGAGTAAAAACGCAATTGTTTATACATTTCGTAACCATCTCAGAAACTAGATCGATTTTATGGGTGCAACGGTTATCAGAGGCTAAATTTATTGTGAACACAATGTACTGAACGTTGTTAAAATTGGAAACGTGTATACTTATTAGGCCAATATTTTCACAAACTCAAAAGTGCACAATTTCTACTATAAACTATTTATTCCTTTTGTATATTATTATGACCCGTAAAGTGTTTAATATTATCTACATACATAGTATTACTGTTTTTCCAAATTTCAAAAAATTATAGTTAGTCAATTGAATTTTATATAGCCATTAATAAACAATAATTATACAGCCTTTGACACGGATATGTTTATTTCGATTAAGTGATACCAAAAGTTTACAAACTCCAGTTTCACGTAGACGCAATCTCGAAATGACGTCATAATAATCAGTGGCGGATTCAAGCAATTTCCGGCAATCTAGAGGTGTCATAATCATAAATTTTCTTTTCTCAGCCCCACGGGGCTGAGGTGATCTCTACTTTCCCATATTGTGCAAGTCCCTCCCTGTCCCCCCTCTAATTTGCTTTCCTGGAGCCGCCACTGGTAATGATAAATTTAGTAAATCACCTTTATGTTTGTGAAATCAAAATGCTAATTAATGTTTTGTGTGCTTCCTATCTACTTTTCCTGTTTGTTGAATTAGACGGTATAATTTCCACTCACAATAGTGTATTTCCAATAATACTTACACAAGAGTGAAATTCAAAAAGAGGAGAAAAGCAAAAGCCTCTTGATTGATTTTAAAATTACTGTACATGCAAGAAGACTAAATTAATGACTGTTTCAGGTTTATCTTAATTGTTTTTCACCTTTCGAATTTTGAATAGGCCTACGTTACAAGCCTATCAGTAGATAATAAACCATTATTTTTATGAATTTTAGTTTGCACGAAATATATTAGCGGGCACAATTATGACTAAAAGAATAATTTTAAAAACTTGTTATGATGAGTATTTTAGTGGCAGATTCAAGGGGCCCAGCCGGCCCACATCCTTATTTTTTCTCCCGAAAAGTGGAGAAAAATGGAAATTATATTAAAATTCAGTCTGAGAGTGCCATTTCCGACCAAATAGAGGTGCCATAATCATAAATGTTCTTACCTCAGCCTCAACCATGGTGGGGCTGTGGTTGTCTTCACTGTCCATCTGTGAAAGTCCCTCTCTGTCCCACCATCCCTATTTTTTCCCCGAAATATTAAAGTGGAGAAAAATGGAAATTATATTCAAATTCAGTCTGAGAGTGCCAATTCCGACCAACTAGAGGTGCCATAATCATAAATTTTCTTACCTCAGCCCCAACCATGGTGGGGCTGTGGTGGTCTTCACTGTCCATCTGTGAAAGTCCCTCTCTGGGCCCAGCTCTATTTCAAATTACTGGATCCGCCACTGGATATTTTGAAATTTCGTATGGAAATAAATGTTAATTGCATTGCTTAAAATCAATCGGCCCAAGGCTTTATTTTTCATTCCGTCCCCCCCTCCCCACTTTCAACCACGGATCGACACCCTTGCTCAGATCGTCGGAGCGCCACGGGCCATCCCTGGACCCCATCCCCTCCCCCAGCCAACTGGTGTAGTCACTCACACATTTCAAATCTCTCAGGTTGGTAACTATGCATTGAATACCCTCATTATTTTAATGGTCGAGAAGATTCCTTTGTTGGACTAAAAGTCTAGGCCAGAAATAAATACCACGTCATTTAATGAACCCCTTTTGTCTCTATTTTCAACATCACATTGTTACCAATTTCTAAAGAACACACAATGGTGGACTATACATTTTAACGAAATATGACAAACCTAACACGTCACGATGCACAACGCCACTTAATTAATCATCTTGTTGTTTTTTAATATTTGCACATTACCTCATTGTAAGATTCCATTCATTGTGAAGCAGTTAAAATTGATAAAAATATGAATTATTAATTATGAATTATCATGGCGTAATATTCCCGTGAACTAGACTGCAATGCCTTACTATTATTAATTTTACACACCAACTCAATTTTGAAATAATATAGGATAGTAACTCTAGCTCAACATCGTAAAATTATCATCATCACTTATTTATTAACTAGGGCTCTCATCTCTTCATTTTGTCTTGTGTCAATTTCTGACCACTCTTGTTTCTGTCCTTTAGCAAATATTAGAAAGAACACCATCCCAAAGAATTCAACTGCAGCAGTTATCATGAACATCGAAGACCATCGTTCAAATGTATTCTGAAAGCAAACCAAAAATAAAATGAAAGATTCCGAATATCTTGGTTGAGACTCCAGACCTTCAGCTGCAATCATTTCACTAATTATTTCTCACTAAAAGGGCGGATATTTTGGATTTAAGATTCAGGAAAACATATCATAGCCTATACAAAGTAAGTTTTATTTACACAATGATGGAATAGGCTACAATAGTTAGTGCAGGAGCCGGGGTCAGCCCTACCCCCCCCCCACCGGCCCACCACCTTTTCCGTCTGGGATAGCTGCTGTCAGGTGAAAACCACAATTTGTCGGGGAGAATAAGTTATTTGTATTTTATACATACTGTATTAGCAGGTTATCTATAAAATCGCCTCTAATACCCCTGAAACCCTTAATTGTCGTATCCTGGCATCATCCCTGAGTTATTGCGGTATATGATTTTAATAACTTTTTTGGAGCCTACGCCATCCCACCCTGGGCGCGATTTTTTTTTCCGTACGAAACATTTACATGAAACTCTACTCGGGTCGTCTCGACTGAATCGACCCGGGCCGAAAATCTCACATTGCAGAATTCAGGAGGTCAAAAGGTCATCAACAGATAAACGTCTACAAAACAACTTCTGAGAGAACGCCGCTGTCTGATTTTTAAAAAATACATTGATGTTACCATGCTAATACTAATGGGTCGTATAAAATGACATATATAATATTTGATTGAGCTGCACGAGTGATGAAAAGTGTTAGGCCTATTTGAACTTGAGTTCATACTGTGACAATTTTTATTTTTTAGTTAGGTCTAGGTTTTGCATAATTACCTAGGCCTACTAACTACTAAAAATATACGCTTTCTGGGGAAAGCACAAAGAGGAAGGAAAAGCACGTTTTCATCAAATGAAACAGGGTGACAGATATTTTCAAAGAGAATAGGCAGCTCTAAAATAACTGGATGCCATAAGACCTGCCAAAATGGCAGAGCACCAATGAATGTATAAATGAGACCTAATCCTAGTTATTATTAATATTAGGCATAGTAAGTATCTGCAGGTTCTTGATTACAAGGATAGACCAAGTTAATTAATGCCGAAATGATTATTATTTATTTATTTACCTTACTAAAACCTACTTTAAAGGGAACTTAGACAAAAGAGAAATTAGGGAACAATTAAAAAAACGAAGTTAAGGGGAAATAACACAAAAGATATTCCCCTTGGGCTAGTTAGTAATTATAGATTATAGGCCTAGAATAGTATCTGTAGGTTCTTGATTACAAGGCTTAGGCCAAGGTAATTAATGCTGAAATAATAATAATAATAATAATAATAATAATAATAATAATAATAATAATAATAATAATAATAATAATTATTATTATTATTATTATTATTATTATTATTATTAATAATATTATTATTATTATTATTATTATTATTATTATTATTATTATTATTATTTAAAATTAATTACATTACAAGAATAGTTGGCCAAGTTCAATAACGCCGAAATGGTATATTATATTTATTATTATTTAATAATATTTCTCTTATGCACTCTATTTTTTTTCCATTTTCCCCCCCAAAATTTCAATCAACGTCATGTGAAGCGTGACTATTGGTGTCAGCCTAGGACCCTAGGCCTACTTTTAGGGAGGGGCCTAGGTGGACTTAACTCTGCCTGTAGTTATAGGCCTATAGTTTATCCTCTTTCTCTCTAGCCTTTGGTATTACTGTACCTATCTACACTTTATAAAAGGGGGTACTAGCTGTTGTTGTTGTAGATATTATACTAACATTTAATAACATATACAAGAAGGTCACAGTTAATTACACACATACATCCCATAAATCCGTAAGATATCATAGGCCTACCGTAGGTAAACATAAAGAGCAATAATAGTAAAACTTGAGCGTCACGACTGCGAAGTGTCTGCTCTTGTTCCTCGTATCGAACTCGAATCGAGTCAATACGAGATGGCCCGAGTGAAATTTCATGCAAATATTTCATACGGGAAAAAAATCGCACCCTGGGCCTCAGAAACATGCGCCAGATAAATTATAGCCTTGAAAATTCACTGAAATCTTCTGAGACAACCGAACAGTCGGTTTATCTCAAAAACCATAATTATTTTAACACATGGTGTACCGAAAGTTTAATGGACCTTTCCGTGAAGCCTTGCCCTTTGGATATTGTTGCTAACGTCCAACAACGTCCTACAGTGTTAAAACATACACAAACACGTGCGTTTGTGGGACAACACATGTGTTTGTGAGACGCGCGCGTATTCGATCCTGGTGCTTTTCTGATTGGTCAGTTGTTAAGTTTGATTGACACTCCGGAAAGGTCTATTATGTTATTATTGATAATCTCCTTGCAAACTATTTTACTGATCTCGAACATTTCCTAGTCCACATATCAAGCGCCCTGATCATCTTACATTAGATGGATATGTGCGCTATATAAAACTACACTATTATTATTATTATTATTATTATTATTATTATTATTATTATTATTATTATTATTATTATTATTATTATTAATATATAAACGGTTGTTACACTTACGTCATTCTCTATTATTAGAGCAAGAATTAGTGGGCCGATAAATCCAGCACATCCGCCTGTAGTAACCATCATTCCTACAATTATTCCTGAATATGTTTTTGATATGTCCATTGGGTTCGGTAAAATACTTGCTCCATTGAACCCAAGCGCACAAAAGGCAATCGTCAGAAAAATCATGAATGTCACAATATTGTCACCAGCGTAAGCTAGAACAACAAAACAGACACCCGTCACGCCAATATCTGTCCAAAAAAAATTATTTTAGCGAAAGTGGTAGAAACACTTCTAGTCACTGGAAGTATTTTTATTTATTTATATTATTATTCAATATGAAAATCAAGGTAAACTTATTTTTTAAATTGAAAAATTTCAAAGCTTAAGTTAATAATTTTTATGTTACTTTAAATGAGCAAGTTCATTTCAAACATTTTTTAAATATTTTTTTTTGTCATTTTTAGAGGACAATACATCTTTAACATGTAATGTATGATCACGAATTTGGTATCGCGCCATTTTCGTAGGATACAAATCGTATCGACATAAATCAGAGTTAACAATTATATCGCGTTCATAATCATTTAGTATTGTTATCATCAGAATGTGGTAAATCAAGAATATCTTACTTAGAATTACGAACAACTTCCTTGTATTCGCAACACTTAAGTACCTACAATGAATGATATAATCAGCACACACCCCGGACAGCATGACGAAGGGAAAGCGTACAATATTTGTAACTGATACCAACAAACCAGTCTGTATCAGGAAAATATCATTATTATCATTATCATTATCAATATCGTTGTCATTACGTTATCATTGTCAGTATTATCAAACTATTGTTTTTACGGTATATAATCAATATTTTAAAGGACTCTTGTACTTTTTATTACTTTTTACGTTCCAATGCAACCATCTGTTGTCTTGTATCTTATCTATTATCATTATTACAAAATGTTATTGTCATTGTCACTTCTTAGTCCTTGTCCTTGTCATTGGCTATGTCCATGTGTATGTATATGTTATGTTCATAATTCTTGTCATTGGATTGTAATTGATATTTTTATTGACATTTTTATACAGTATAATCTTTATCATGATTATACTTTAAGTTATACAGTTATTGTTATATTGATATTAGGATTTTTTGATTTCAACTTACTGTTTTTACATCAGCTCCTAAGATGCTATATATGAAAGTCGGTGCTTCAGTAATAATGACATAATATGCAAATTCGTATGCAAAGTAGCCAATAATAATCGCCCAAACAGCAGATGATGTGAATATATCTCGCCATGGAAACAATATATTCTAAAGGATAGTAGACAACAACACTATAACTTCTCCCTAATAATAATGATGATGATGATAATAATGATGATGATGATGATGATGATGATGAAGATGATGATGATGATGAAGATGATGATGACAATGATGAAACGGTAAGCCACCGTTAAGTCAAACTGATAAGCCTAGGAATATCATTGCTAAATGTATGTACTGGCCGGAGCGTAATAATGTACTTGCTCAAGCCAAACAGAAGTTTTAAGAAGTTCCAATACAAGCTGTTTTATAATTGAGGACTTTTTTCTCGTTTGTGTGGATAGCACACCTTTATTCAAAATTTAAAAATTATATCACATATTATATTTATATTTTAACTCTCTTGGACCACAATTAAGTTGTAGCATAGCCAAGAGTAGCAGCCGGGACAACGAAATGTGCTCAATGAAGTTAGCCAGCTAAAGTATTTAACGCGGGAAATTTTGTGTAAGTTATTGATTTCTATATAATGTAGCACTTGGAGTATTTCTGGAGGCTTTAAATATATAATAATAATAATAATAATAATAATAATAATAATAATAATAATAATAATAATAATAACGATATAACGCGCCATTTGTAATTGTAGACGCTCTAATTTGGTTATATGTCTACTTGTTGTACACCACACAGAACAACTGAAATTAATGGATGGGAGAGCTATTGTTCTATTGTAATAGCACAAAATCGTCAGCTTAAATAGGCTACCAACCTATATTGCTTTGATGTACCTCAAAAATATCAGTACTTATTGAACCAAAGAAACCCTACTCTTAACAGAATCATATAATCTATGGATAATTTTCCATATTTTACTTCTTACACCTGAATTCCAGAGAGCCTTCATAAGATGGTCTCTCCATATTATGCTATCAAATGCCTTTCGGAAGTCCAGGAAGGCTATATATGTATTTTTGCCTTTCTCATGTACAGCAAGTAGGACTCTTCAATACAAATATATGGACATCACATTTATGGGATAAACAGAATCCTCTCTGGACCTCCGAAAAGGCATCTTTATTCTCAAGGTAATGTGAAATATTCTTGGCAATTATCCTATTAAAGATTTTTAACACACAAGATGTTAACAATATCCCCGATAGTTATCAAGATCTTTTCTCCCTTTTAATGGATAGCAATAATAATACTAGTATTCCAGTCATGTAGAATCTGCTCCATACTAATAATTTTGTTAAATAATTCTAATAAGGATCCGAATAGCATATCACCACCATTTGTAAGCAATTCATTTGTGATACATCTAACCCAGGTGCTTTGTTATTATTTGATAAAGAAATTTCTTCTTCTACAATATCATAATCTATCAAAATAGTATACAGAAAACTAAAATCTACATCGTCCTTACATTGTGAGTAAATAATGGAACCTACCTTAGTTCCTCTATCATCTTTAGTTGAAAAAGTATTTAGGTATTCAACCTCCTTTTTTGAAATAGGAGTTTCCTTCTTTCGTTCTGCCGGGTAAAATCAATTACTTTAGGCGAGTTTGTAGACTAACCTACTCGTACCAACGTCCGCATGTCGCGCTAGCCTTATCCTACTCTAGCTAGGCCTAGACTAGCTAGGATCTGTCTCTTATACACATCTAGATGTGTATAAGAGACAGTAATACACACATACATATAATTTTTTTTTAAATTAGCTTCTACAATTTACCTTGTTGGCCATTACATATATAAAATATAACCAGTGACCAACTACATTTTAACCCATGGTTTGCAAACATATATGCCCATGTTTCTACAATATACTGCAATCAATCATTATATTTACACTGATTATATTCTATGGTGTCAAATCATATAAGACCTACTACATAATTTTTTTTTGCTAAAGAACATACAATGGGTATAGGGTGTTTGCATTACCATGACAATCATGCACATCAATTCCAAAACTTCCATTGGATTACATTAAAGTCCATCGTGTTAGAAAAAAAAATTGTTAATGTCAACTAAAATTGCACTTAGTACAATTCTTATTATAAATAACATTAACTAAAAACACAAGCTAACATCTATCTACAGTAAAACAAAAAACAAATTTATGACGATGTTATCAATCCAAAATCACTATAAATGTTTTTTGGGTTTTTTTTTTTGTTTTTTTTTACATTGACCTTGTGGTTGTACCACTTTAAAAAAACAGTTTTATAGTATTACACAGTATGAATACTGAAAGCAAGCATACAGGATAAGCAAAAAATATACCGTAAACGAAATGAAATTAGGAACAAAATTTATTGCCAATGTAAAGGTATCTCTGTTCATGATTGTTTACTACCTGGACCTAACTTACTCAACCATCTTTTAGGAGTTCTGCTTCGTTTCAGACGAGAAATGGTTGCCTTGATGGCAGATATTCAGGGCATCTTCCATCAGTTTTATGTATCGAAAGATTGCAGAGACCTCAGTTCTCCAGCATGTGCGAACTATGGTTTGAGACAGGCAGCGATGATGGAGAAAAAGATATTGGTAAGACTGCTGCGGGCTTCATTCGAGATAATTTCTATGTCGATTAATTTCTGTAACCTCTAGTAATGAAACTATAACATTGATAACAAATAGAACAGCATTATATGCCAAGGCTGGGTTACGTCTTCATAAATGGATATCGAATGATCGCGATGTCTTAAAGGAAATTCCGAAAGATGAGAGGGGCAAATTAGTGAAAGACATAGATCTGAAGTACGATACTTTACCATTAGAGCGTGCTCTTGGGGATTCGTGGTGATTAAAAAGTGACTCATTTAAATGCAGGATTACACTACCACTAGAAGAAACATTTTAGGAACAATCAGTTCTATTTATGATCCATTTGGCTTTGCAGCCCAAGTATTAATTATTGTAAGGTTGATTCTTACAGGCAATGTGTAAGCAGAATCTAGACTGGGATAACTCGTTAACAGAAGACTTGCGTTCCAGATGGGGACAGTGGTGTGAAGATATCGTAAATAAATCTTCCGAAATACATTACTTCTCCGACGCAAGCGAAAAGGCAGAAGGCTCAGAAATTGTTCATTCAGACGCAAAGTGTTGTATTAACAGTTTCTAAATAAACAGGCACGTACAAAATTGATATTTGTTTAGGAACTTACATAATAGTAAATATATAAGGTGATTAATTCAAGATTTGTTGCGGTCGGTAGTTGGATTGGAGCCGAGTTTTGTAGAATCCCATGTGTAGGATAGCCTCTGCCCATGCCTATTCTGTTTTTTACGACGAATATGAGGTTGTCGCGTTGATACTCCACTCAATAATAAAAGAAAAAACAAAAGAAACAAGAAAAAACCCAAATGGACTCACCAATGTATCTCCTCGAATAAATCCACTAATACATTTAGGCCTAATTTTAGGTTTAGTGCCACATAGCAATGGGCCTGCAGGAGCGGATCCAGAGATGTCCAAAAGAGGGGAGGGGGCGTGTTCTAGACGCCCGAAAATAACATTTGAAGCGTTCTGGGCTATCATTTTTTTCTTTTTCTTTCTTTTTTTTTTTTTTTTTTTAACCTCCCAAAATGGGGGACCGGGGCCGGGTCGGTGTTCCAATCAATCCTACATTATTGCGCCCCCGTTCCTAGGCAATGTCATTATTTTCCCGTTGTGTTTACAATACAACCTACAGTAAATCTTCAGTTAAAAAAACGCCCATAAACAAGGTTCTTTGGTCCGAAGGGCCTTTAGTCCGAAGGTCTGTTGGTCCGAAGTAAATATATTTCAAATATAGAGAAAAAAATATGATTTAAAAAACATATACTGGGGACTACTAGTGCATACAATTATTGCTTGTTGAATAAAAAACCGAGAACAGGCCTATATATGCAAAACAAAGCATAGGCCTAGATCACATAAATATAAAATTGTAAACGTATTGGTTGATTTATTTTATTTTTGTTTTTTGATGAGGAGTTTTACTATACTAACTTCTTATAAGCAAAAACTGATTTCGAAATGTTAAACTTACAATCCTTGAAAACCAAGTCACTAAAATTCGGATCTTCAGACCAGAAACCCTTCGGACAACGGACTTTCGGACCAAAGACCCTTCAGACCAACGGGCCTTCGGACCAAAGGTACGCACCCCGCCAAGTACACCTTTATTTAATTATTTAAGGGGATTAAACATTATAATATTCACGAATAACAGCCGTGTGAAGGCATATAGGTTTAGGACAATGTATTGCAGTGTACACAGAATCAGGAGAAATATAAGAATACCCATCGTCTAGTGACCTGCTTAACAAAATGGGAAAAAAAAAACGTCAGGTCCCCTCCAGTCAGGTCATTGACATTTTGACGGTATTAATTTAATTGAGTGCAGATGACGTTTCGTGTGTCGAAACTTTTTACTTTCACATACATTATCAGGGGTGCCATTTTAAAATAATATTATAACAGGAGGATTTTTAGTAATAGGTGGAGGAACATGTCGCGATGTCGCAAAGGAACATGTTGCGGAGCGACATGAGAGGGCTCTTTGGCCCGAGCGGGGGTGGGTTTGAGAGGGGTGTACACCCCTACCTGAGGAAAAAAATAAAAACAATTACTGTAAGATGCCATTTAAAAGTGTTGAGTTTTAAGTTTTGAATTGTGTTGCAATGTTTGATTTTAGAGTAAAAATTTCGTGGTTAATTTAATATTCAATAACAATAAATAAATGGATAGCACATCAAATAATGTTTGTACTGTAATTATGTATTTTCTTTCACAGTGTTTCTTTTTAAACTATTTACATTCAATTGCAGTTCAGCAATCTGATTCTAATTCTAACTACTAACTAGTTTTCTTACTATCATTTACATAACAGCTAGTACTGTGCCCTTTTTTCATGCAGGTATTTTTAATTACCTTTGCAAATATACAAAATATAAATAATTTATAACAACATCTATTCATAATGCAAAATACTGAAAAAATCAATGAGATATAAAATTGGTAATAAACAGCTAAGATTTAAACGTAAAAGTAAAACAGCCAGTGAGATAAATGCCTAGATTTATGGACAGAACACTGTCATTCGTCAGGGCTAAATTTTCTATAATTTGTTTTTATCTATTTATGAGCTACATAAAATAAAAATATAGTCTTCTTGCATGTAAAAAAAAACGTAATTGAATTCACGTTCTTTATATCTAAACATTGTACTTGTATACAATGGAATAATAATCTACATTGCTACAACCCTCTCGAAATTAGCGTCGGCTTTCTTCAATTTGCTGAGGTGCCCGAAGCTAACGACGGCGCTAATTTGCAGAGGCCCTTTTCTCTCAAATCAGCTGTGAATGTTAATTTTGTTAGTGACGACATGGGAAAATGTGTTAATAAAACATTAAAACTATTTGGTTGACTTACTTTATTCGTGATGATTAAATATCTTACAAGAAATGACGGACGAGGTTGTTTACTTCTTGATTCCTAGCATACTTCGTAGGGTGGATCACGTGGTCTTTCTCGATGTTCTTCGCTCGATCTGGGTTCAACGCTCGGCCAGAATTTTTTTTTTTTGGACTTAATATTTGTGATGATTAAATACAATATCTTACAAAAAATGACAGACGAGGCTCTTTACTTCTTGCTTCATAGCATAGTTTGTACAGCCGGTCACGTGCTCTCTACAAAGTGGTCCTGTTCAGATGTTCTTCCCCGACGCTCGATGGGGGCTAGACCTGATTTAACGGTGTTCTTTGGTTGGACGTTGTTTGTGTGACAATGTGTTTGAATGAAATTAAAATTTTATTTGCTTTGATGTAATGATATAGTATTGTACAAAATATAAGCTTAGGCCTAGAAGAATGCTGTTTTAATTTTCGTAGTAAATACTACATTTAGAAGGGAATTTCTCCATGTGGCATAGGCTTCATACACAGTGTATAGCAGAGCAATATATCTACAATCGGTCAATTCCTGGGGACGAACTCATTCCTCAAATCATTCGACGATTTTATTAGCATCCGAGGACCTGTACGACAAATCCGTTCTGATCAAGGTACGAATTTTGTAGGTGCAAGGAATGAGTTTGCAGAAGCGAAAATTAAACATTATCTATTAAGTGAGAATTGTGATTGGATTTCGTTCAAGTTTAATGTTCCATCCACAAGCCACATGGGTGGCATATGGGAAGGTATGATACGAACTTTGAGAAGTGCGTTGGAACCTATTCTACACCGTTGTGGCGATCAGTTGGATAATGAATCGCTTACAGCACTGTTATCAGAAGTACATATTGTGAACTCTCGTCCCTTTTAAACAGTAAACACTTTATCTGAGTCTAATTCGCCTGAGCCTCTAACCCCAAACCATTTACTAACCATGAAGGCAAAAGATTCTTCCTTCCCAAGGTGTGTTCCAGGATCCGATGTGTATTTTCGTCGGCAATGGCGGAGAGTGCATTATTGTGCTGATCAATTCTGGCAACGTTGGAAAAGGGAGTACAGTATCTTGCTACTCTACAGACTCGGCAAAAATGGACTCATCCCCAACGAAATATGGAAATTGGAGATATTAAGTTGATCAAGGACGATAATGCGCCTAGAAACCAATAGAAACTCGGAACAGTCATCGATGTTTATAGAGTACCACAGTCGTGTCCGTCACGATGCCAGGTGTGGCGCACTCTGTTGTCAACAGACGTAGGTTACCGTTCATTACGCCTGAATGACTGCATAGGCTTTCTGGAATAGGCATTTTAAAATCTAATATTTTACCATCAAAATGTACTAAAAACACAAAAGCTCGCATTATATTAGTTATCGAACACACATTTTAATCATCAATTAAAATCTACAAAGAAAAAGTAAGATACAACATCTTAATAATTACGTTAGATATTAATTGGGATCAATAGTTTGTTAGTGGAGAAAATGGCGTCGGGTTGAACGCATTTTGCAACGATAGCAACGAAGTAGTGCCACGTAGTATCGTGACGTAACACTGTGTGGTGATATCGATGGACTAGTGCGAAAAGTTCAACTCTAGACTGGAAAACACAAGATACTTGAGAGGTAACTGTACACAAATTGATTTTATTGTTGGCTAAATAAACTAATTATTAATTTACATGGGATGTTCAATCCCTGTTACAAGGACCAAACGCTAATGAATTTTATTAAAAGAAGTAATTCTAAATTTACCATAATTATATTCGAAGAAAATTACTTAACGTTTTGTTTAGAGAAATAATAGAGGCCTATGGAAGCATTTATGTTTATGGAATAACTTATAATTTATTGTGCAAAGATTATAATTAATAAAAATGTCATCTTTACAGGGAACCATGTAACGGCAGTTGAATTAAGGATCTGTTCTAACGTATTAATTTGAATGCCAATTTACATGTTAGTGCTCCACTACACTACGCCACTTACACTGTAAGTGCTGAAAAACTAATTGTTAGGCAGCTGGGTAGCGGCCAGCATGTATACCGGATCAATTGCCCGGAGCGTGTGTAACCGATAGTAAAGTATCCAGAAGAGATATGATTTGTAGAGCCAAAAGAATAAATGGCATTGATTGAGGTAAACAGTATAGTCTCCGTGTTGTATATCAAGTCATGCCAACTCCGCATTACGCGTTAATTATAAGCTCATTTTGCGCGTTATGGTACACCGTCGCAAGTGGTAAGCCATAACGGCCCGCAATATAAGTCTTTCAAACGATTTTCAAATTAATGGGACTTTGACCATCTCAAGAACAGCCCGGAAAACAATCAGGCTAACAGAGGCAGAGTCAGCCGTCAAAACAGCAAATCGCATAATCATAAACTCGCTGAAGGCAGGATGCGATGTACATATTGCCTAGATAGAAACACCCCAACACAAGGTCTCCAAACAAGTCTTGCATAAAGATTGATGAATAGGAGAACACGCACACTCCTACCAACCACAGCAACACTTCTAAACCACGAGTGCACAATGAATCACACACATATAACTTGCACGCAAACAAGTTAAAATGAAGGAAAACTACGATAGTAAAGCAAAAGATCTGAATGAAACCATTAGAATAAGGAGAGATGTCGTTAGAATGAAGCCGTTGGTTAGAGAAAACAAGCTCATTGGGAATAGGCGAAGGGATCAAAGCGAATAGATGAAAGATCCTACCACAAAGAACAACGACGAAGGTACAAAAGAAACCGTATACACTTAATTTACGCAAAATACAAGAAGAGCTCCAATTAAACTACAAGGACACAGCTCCAATCCAAAGCAAACTACGGAATGAGAACATAGATTTACAAACAAACAAGCAGACACTCAAGCATGTCAACAATAAGCGAAATTAAACAACTCAAGAAGCGCAGCGGGAAGCATAATTTTTTCCCCATGCACTTAAGGCAGAAATTATAGAGGGCTCTATTTTAGATCAGTTCAGCGAAAAGCTGCATGCTTAACTTCCCCTCGCGAAAGAGGTGTTCAGTGGTGTATCGAGTAAGCTGCAGTGCTTATGCGCAGGTGAAAGCTACCGCGTAGGGTAACAATCTCTAAAATAAGCCTTGGTAGTCAAGACAGTGAAAATTAATGGACTATTGTAATAATATCCCAATGACTAGATACAATTTACGTACAGCATGGTCGTTAAAAGTATTAAAAAAAAACACTGTAATGTTGAGCAATATTGAATCTGGCTATTTGAGTACCGTACTCGCGCGAAAAACTTGAAAACTTTTCCTTAAGCGCCCCGTTTGAATAAGCGCCCCCTTTTAATTCAAACAATCCTGGACTGTGGATGGTGGCATGATTTGAGGTGTGGAGTGGAATCACATTCTCCTTTAGTCAATATCAAAATGAAGATATTTATCTTGGACAGATGAGAGCTCCCCGGAGAGACAGTAAATTTCCAACTCTCATCTTCTTACATTTTTCTATAGCCTAGTCCTACTGCTTTTCCGACAATTTGCACCTAACACATTCTCATCTGAGTTTTCAAGAAAACCAGAAAACCTGCAATGATCATGCCATCCTGTTAATATCAATCGGCCGATGGCTAACAAGCTAACCACCACCACTACTTTCATCTGCTATTCTGCTGTTATGTAATACTGTACTCACAACATTCTTGTCATGACAAGCCATGCTCTCTGGACGATTATCTTTTCCGCCACACCACCATTCGTAGTTTGTGGTTTCCTGGTCATTTTCTAATCGTTTTTCATTCAAAATGTGCCTCTTGAATTTAATAAGTTCTCATAAGAACCCCTCGATTTTCATCTATTTCCATAAGCGCCCCCTGAATTTCCACTCTGTTTTGATAAGCGCCCCGTTCGAATAAGCGCCCCGTTCAAATAAGCGCCCCTCAAAAAGTGCAAAAAAAAATATTTTAAGCGCCCGGGCGCTTATTCGCGCGAGTACGGTATAGTATAGGTCTAGATATGACTTGTGTGGTAGCAATTATATTCCTTCTATATAATAGTGATGTTCAAGTTCGCGTTCAAGTTTATTCTCTTTATATTGTCACGTTAAATATTTACATAAAATTCTTTTTCCAAGGTTCAACATACATTAGAGATATAAATATCTCATTGGCTGGTAAAAACGTCTGTAAATCAATGAAAACTATTTGTACTTCCATCTGTTTTTGATCGTTTTAATTGAGCCATTCAATTTTTTAATTGGTTATGTAAGGTTTTTCTTGCCTGTGTTGGTAGACAGTCTTTAATAAACAGTGGTACGTCATATAGTCAGTGTATAGAATATCGTCAGGTTTGGTAAAATGAATGGTTATAATATAATATCTGCTTTCTAAAACACATCTATGCCTAAGTACTACATTGGTGGAGGAGAACATAGGACTGAATTAGAAGCTGTTAGTGAAGTGAAAGATCTTGGCGTGGTTATAGATAATAGGTTGAATTTCCGGTCTCATGTCTCGCATGTAATATAGATGGCGAATAAGAAATTGGGAATTATTCAACGTTTATTTAAACTACGAATTAAGAGACGCTTACTATATAATTTCAAAACAAAATTTAATGACAAGAAAGATCGACGTTTCGGGTCAATCATGGAACCATTCTCAAGATCAATTTATTTGATCTTGAGAATGGTTCCATGATGGACCCGAAACGTCGATCTTGATCTTGAGAATGGTTCCATGATGGACCCGAAACGTCGATCTTTCTTGTCATTAAATTTTGTTTTGAAAGTTTATTTAAACGTTTGGATTCAGATTGCTTTTTGTTATTGTATAAGTCATTAATTCGTCCATCATTAGAATATTGTAATAATGGTTTGGGTGCCTAGATTCCTTGAAGATGAAAATAGTTTAGAGAAATTACAACAAAAAGCTACTCGATTAATTTCCGAGTTGAGGGGACTGATTATGAGAATAGGCTAACAAGACTTTCAACACTAGCTTATAAATGGAAGAGAACATTAGTTATCCAGGTTTTTAAAATTGTTAATGGTTTTGATAAGTTGGAAGTTGGTACCCCAATTTGAATTTTCAACAACTGTTGTTACTAGGGGACATTCACTAAAATTAAAGAAACCAAAAGTCAAAACTAAGTGGGGAGAACAAAATTTTAGTGCGAGAGTAATTAACAATTGGAATAATTTGTCAGTTGAAGCTGTGGGTTCACAATCAATTAATCAATTCAAATCAAGGCTCGAAGAACACTGGCTAAATCACCACCAGAATTTTAAACCGTATGAAAGAGACTTAGACAGAGGGGTGAATAAGCATTAACGCTTTAGCTTCAAGATCAAGGTAAATCTAATACTTCTTATTTATAATGAATATGAACGAAATGTTGGTGAAAAATCACCATTAAACAATTGATAAAATTGTCTTAACACAGTGTTTATATCCTTCAGAATCAGTACTACATGTATGCTATATCTATACACTACTCAAATATCAGATTCAACGCTGTAGATTCACAGTAGTGTTAAAAGTTAGTGAAAATGTTATTGTTATAGAGTTAGTAGTTAGTGAAAAGTGTTATAAAGATTTCAGTAAACGGTAATACTTAATACACTATTATATGCTTAATAGAAAAGCACATTTAATCTCATACTTAAATAACGAGGATATAGTGAGCCTTCTACATATATCACACTATGTAAATATGCTAATGAGTCATTAAGAGTAGACGTGTGTATATCATGTGTCTGTTGAGTCAGTGTACGAAACACAACATATCCATCTCGAGTTACTATATATTGTTGATATTTTGTGCTGATCGAATGTTGTGGTTCAGCAAAGTAATTTAAGGGCAGTGACGTAACATCTATTGACTCTCACTGACAGCCAGGAGCCACTGTTAGGAGGATCAGGCATATTAATATGCACTTTGGCCTTGACCTAAAATCATTTCAGTTGGGCCCTTAATGAGCAAAGCGGGACCCTTTCAGTTAAGTTGCAAAAGCGTGTAAAAACATCAAAACGTAAAAAAAAGCCATAGTAGACGGGGGATTTGCTTTGTACCCTACCGGGAAGACAGATTAGGAACATAACTACAGTGATTGATAAGGGGGAGAAAGGGGAGAACATGAATTGAAGGAGAATTATTATCATTAATCATTCGTATTTTATATAAAATAGTTCAACTTACTGTATATATAAAATGACATTGGCCATCCACCGAATTCATAAGCAGAAGAAATCCATCCAGACACGTAACTAGAAATTATAACACCAAGAGTCATTCCTGTAAAAATAAAAATAATTTTATATTTTATTATTAGGCCTATATTTTTTAATGTCATATTTTCCATAGCATAAATCACGAAATGGACCAGTGGAATATTTGATTATCTACTTTGTTTAAGCCTGGTTCTCACGAGAGCCCCAGTATCCGGATCGAGAGCTAACTGTTAGCGCTAACCGTTAGCACCTGCGTGAGTACGCATGATCGGTTAGCGCTAACCGTTAGCGGTATCCGGATACGCTAACGGTTAGCAAGCGCTGTCGGTTAGCAAGTTGACGGCGTTTCTATCATCAACCAATCACACGTACGCGTTTACAATTTCCAGTTTCTTATTGGCCAGTGATTCGATCATCATATTGTTGGTATCCAGATCGGGATTTTCTCGCATGGACGCACGACAGCTAACGGTTAGCACGATCCGGATCCTGCTAACACCGTTAGCTGCCGTGTGAGAACATAGCCTATATCTTAGTTGTGTCTTCGGTAAGTTACTTTACCGAAGACACAACTAAGAGATACATTATCTTGCCAAGTTGACTTCCAGAAAAGCACATGTCGTCATAACAATATAGATTACCTTGCCAAGTCGACATAGTAACAATTAAATGTTGTCATGGCGAAGTAGATTATTTTGCCAAGTTGACTTCAAAAAAAGTACATGTCGTCACGGCAAAATAAATTATTTTGCCACGTTGACTTCCAGAAAAGCACATGTCGTCATGGTCATCATTTGCTCAATTTTTGTGATGATGTTGATATGACTGTAGTTAATTGCACCTAGGTATGAGTAAGAGCAAATGAATAAAAGACAATCTTTAACAACGAATGATTATATTTTAGTGTCAAATAATACCCACAACCATATAAAAGAAGTGATTGTTGATAAAAATAGAGAATATCATATAGGGTGTGATCACAATGTTTTGTTCTTTAGGTTTAAAAACCATCCTTTTAAACTTGAACCACGATAAATTAAAAGTAAATATTGAAAACCAATCTAGGATATTAAAAGAGAACACAATTTTGGTCTACTTTCCAAACTGAAATTGGAGGTGTCTTTGAGAACTGGGAACCACAAAATTACAATGATCAAAATTATTAATGGGTATCTTAGAACGTTAAAGTAAATAAATACTGCTACAAACGAAATTGGCATCAAATAGGGAAAAAAAAAGTAATTGAAAATACTGATGGGATTCAGAAATTGACCACTTAATAAAAGAAAGGTGCAAAGCCAGTACAGCCTTTGGCGCTATGTATAAAATATAGAATATGACGAAAGTAAAGAGATGAATTATGGAACAGGCACCAGGATCAACGTAAACAGGCTAGAAATGCTATAAAACAAAAAACAACATCTGACTTAATTGAAAAGAGTTTTAATATCTGTCTCTTATACACATCTAGATGTGTATAAGAGACAGGGCCAGTGATTCGATCATACCAAATACCAATGATATTACCACCGACAAATATATTATGAGTCAAACCATCATGCCAGATTGGCAGACTTTTGGTAAAATAATTGTTAATATAAATGACTATAGAGATGAAGAAGTCATTGAAATATGTAATATTGCTAATTTGCTACAAAACTAAAAAAATGTTGAAAAGACAAAAACTGTCTCAGTGATATAGAAATCTCAGTTGAAGATGTTATTTCAGCAATAAACATTTGCAAAAACAACATAGTCCACGGGATCGATAATATCACAAACGAATTACTGAAAAACTAAGGTATATGGATCTTATGATCAACATTTTCGACCAAGCTACCGGCACATCGGGAGGCACGCTGTCCGCGGGCTGGCATTTTCGGGTTAAATGGCCAATTCATGTGTTTACATCGTCCGTTCTCCGCTACCTGTTGTCAGATAATTCTGTACTTTTGATATGCTATAGTTCAGTTATTTAGGCAACTTGTTTTTATTTAAATTTCAAAAGCTTAAAAAAGACCCTGTGTTTTTGCATTTTTCGTAAGCATGACCGGAGCCCGGGTAAAAGGCCATTTTTCTCGATTTCCAGAGGGTTCTGTTGTCTTTAAATCGCTTTGTTGAGCATTCACCATTATAAAAGCTTCTTGTACACTTGCTAGAAAGAAAAAAATATTATTCATAGATTCTTTTAAAGTAGGTTTTATTTTGATTGGTTGAAAAAAGGGTATGTCACTTTACAAATTACCGTATGAAAGGTGGGTGGGAATGGTCAGTTTTCCATAGACGCATTTTGCATTCGAGCCAGGAGGTTTAGGTGAAACCTGTAAACGTTTTTTCAGAATATCGAATAATTCATTAAAGTATTTTATTAAATATTTGTATCTTGATGTTTAATAATAATCATAGAAGAATTCTAGTGAAATAATTTTTTTGAAATGTTGCTACTATTACGCCTAAATTTCATGTTTAAAATGTATTGGCATCACAGCATCTGTGCACCGTTGGCGTTGATTGAGATGCATCGTACCATTTTCTAGACAGGGTTCTATAGCTGTGTTGATGTGCAGTAGGAAGATTTATAATTGGTTAGGCATGTTTTTTATGAGTTGCTTATGTATATTATTTTGTTAGATTTTAAACGCTATCAATATTGTCACTATAGCTGCCCGTGTTTGCTGCTGGTAAGATATTATTCCTGAGTCTATAGTTCTGTATACCCCGCAGTATAATGCAATATTCCAAGAATGACTCATGTGTAGCTGATAAGGGAATCAAGGCGTCAGCGCGAAGGATTAAAATGCATTTTCTGGTTGCAAAATACCCTACATAAGATCGATATGCGGGAATGATATGTGTACTGGCCTCAAATAAAGCGAGTAGACGCAAACGTTATTCAAGTTTAACACTTCCTTTGATTTTTCCTTTAGTTGAATTAGAACCACTTACGGTTGATCTATAACCTCATTTTCGTTAAACTAGATTAGGTTGATCTATAACCTCATTTTGGTTGAACTAGATTACTGAAAGAACAATTAAAAGTACTACAACATAACAAAGCATGCATTAAAAATGTTAGGCCTATCATCCAACAGGCTCAATCAGTACTAATTATAGCACAACAGCATTACAGTATATTGGTTGAAACAGTACAAATCATAAGCATTCGAAAACAATAAGCATTCGAAAACGTGAACAATCTAAGACAGTCCCTTTTACCGTCGGCATGGCAACCGCCAAACTTCGAATCGAGGAGGCACGAAAGCCTTTACCAAAGATAATAAATAGCAGAAGATAGAGCAGCTTCCCAATATAGTGGAACGTCCGTTCGAAGGCATTGTGGGTACACGGAGAGCAATTTTACCCCGTCCGCACGGCGGCGCTATATATCAATGAGCGTGTTCAATTTTCATTCGACTAGTTGCTAGCGTAAAATAGACTTCGTTTACAACGAAAATTAATGTAAACTAGAGTGTGTTACTCTAGGAACGCTGTTAGTATCTCCGGTTATGCAAACACCCTATTATGTGCAATCGTTATGACGTTATGTGGTACGGTCATGACGTTACGTGGTTTGGTCATGATGTTATTGTGGTGTTGTGATTATACACGCTTTGGCCACCTATTGAGGATATAAGGTTGGAACTTGTGTTGATGAGCCATGATGATTGAATAAAGGGCAGAGAACCATATCATGATGAGTTCTAGTGTTTGTACAAAGTATACGTAGTTACAAGCAATACTACAGATAGTACAACATGACATTGGCGGCAAGGATCATCACCCTACATGGCAGATTAAATAACAGTAACTTAGTCAAATCTCAGATTTTGATGAGCAAAGTCACACCACGACGAGAATGCGACCGCAGCCATGTTGAATAGCACAGCCACGTTTATGAACATAGCACAGTAACTTTAACGTGCATAGTCATTCCGATCGATTCCGAGGCCCAGATCTCCAGGACGAAGTAAATGTTCTATTAAAACAGCCTACTTCCAGGCCTAGGCCTACCACTGCCGCGGCAGATGGCTCTAGGGCAGCAGTTACGTCTTCGAGTAGTGCGTCGGGATCGAGCAGTACAAGCAGTGCTAGTACTACGACGAGTTATGACGAAATAAAGTTCGCATTTCAGTCCCTAACATAATAAGCAATTAGTAGAGCTCCGCATAGTACATTATAGGAAAATTATTGTACGAAATTTAGATTTAATGCTTGAAAAAATTTCCTGAGGGCCTGCAAGGCCCGAAGGAAATTTTTGAATGCATTAAATCTAACCTAAGTATAATAATTTTCCATTTAGTGTACGATGCATGCTCTACTAATTGCTTTATAAGTCAATCGCCGTCTTTTAATTTTAATTTTTTATAACTAACTGTGTAGCAGTCATCGGTTGCTATAGTGATATGATCAGTATACGTGTGCGTATTTACATTTAGCTTTGCGTATGCTGATTTTTGCTCCTGCAGTACGCGTTTAATTAACTATCAGCAGTACAGTACGGATACGATGAAGAACTATTGTGTTAGAAAGAACTTGTTTGTAATGCTATTTTGATAGACTTTCGTCAAAGAAATAAACATTTCAGCATTCGAGAGAGACTACAATCATTGACGTCCTTTTTGGTCGGTGCATGCAGACAGGTAAAATCGTGGGATGATTTCAAAACTAGGCTAGGCTACGGCCTAGTAGTAGTAGTAGTAGGAGGAGGAGGAGGAGGCCCTGGCGGCCTCCTGCCTGGCCGTAGGCCTACATCTAAATTTGTTCCTTGAGTATTTAATATAGGTCTAGAATATTCCTATTAAACGTTCAGTTTGCTTATTCGCGCGAGTACGGTAGGCAAATAACATTGGGAGTTACAGTGATGACGTCACGATTGACTTATAATAAAGATTATGATTCATTGGTTTTTAGAAGGCTCCTGCAAAACAGTGGTGAACTCATGCAAGATTATCATACCAGGTTGCACAAACATGCAGTTAAATGTGATTTTTCTGATATTGGAAGAGAAATTAAGACCCAGATATTGGCTGGATGTGCTTCAGATAAATTTCGACGAAAGTTGTT